GCGACGCGACGAACCGGCTGCGGTTCGTTCACTTTCAATTAAATCGGCGGACGAGGGTACGTTAGCTTCCCCATTGGATTTTTATACGAAGAGAATGATTTTACTCAATATCTAAAAATTTATTTAGATGTAGCATTTGGATAAATCTGAAAATTTTTAGAAACTTGAGAAAAACCGTTCTTTTCGTGTAAATATCCTATGGGTACTGAGCCCTCTCACCACGTCAAGGTGTACCCAGAGAGGGAAAATATCATCTGAAAAATGTAATATACAGCTATTATTTATATTATTATGCAATTATCAGCTGACTTGTAGAAATGGTATATCAAATACATACACGTCAATTTGTCACCATTGCGAAATAAATTCAGAGTTTATAAAAGGACTGAATCTCTTATTATGATGTCTGTAAGATATAATTAGAGTCAATGGAATAGACTAGAGATTAATAAAAAAGAGGAATATTTATTTTACTACCGACAACAGTTTGAAAGTTACATTCAATTTTTTATCATATCACGAAAAATGTAATTCATAAAACTCAAAATTAATTAAATTATTAATTACACAAATTATATTAATTATTAAAATAGGAATAACATAAATTACATTATTTGCATGAAATTATTAACGTAGCTTTTTTTATGATTCGTGTGATACCGTTCGAAGAATAATCGAAAATTATACTCAAGCAAGATAAAAATGTTACACCACAATGTTACACAACCAAACAAAAATAATTATTGTCCATATATTATCGCGAAATAATAATAAAAATTCTGATTTACATCGCGTTTTGATTCCAAATAATTGACCCGTATGAAATATTTATTCCGTGATACACGATTGTCATCTCAATCCCTTTATAAATAATTAAAATTTAATGTACACCAATTAGTAGTCGTATACTGAGTAATCGTATTCATAAAATACGTTTCGTATTTATTGATCGTATTATATTTGACATTATTCGCGATAAGATTTCAAAAAGTAATGCGAAGAAGAACGGCACGCGACACGACTACCTGCCTGTACAAGCTTTGTTAAGGGAATGAGTGATAAACTACGTACAAATGTGACGCGCCGCCCGACTTTCATCCCCCCTTCCACATCAAAGCAAACCAAGGTCGCGCGCCGATCATTTAATTGTCGAAATATTAACGCATATTACAAAGTGAATAAAATAATCTATTCGAAATATCTGTTCCGTGATACGATTGTCATCTCGATCCTTTTATAAATAATTAAAATTTAATGTGTCAATTAGTAGTCGTATATTGAGTAATCGTATTCATAAAATACGTTTCGTATTTATTAATCATATTATAGTTGGCATTATTCGCGATAAGATTTCAAAAAGTAATGCGAAGAAGAACGGCACGCGACACGACTACCTGCCTATACAAGCTTTGTTAAGGGAATGACTGAATGATAAACTACGTATAAATGTGACGCGGCGCCCGACTTTCATCCCCCCTTCCACATCAAAGCAAACCAAGGTCGCGCGCCGATCATTTAATTGTCGAAATATTAACGCATATTACAAAGTGAATGAAATAATCTATTCGAAATGTCTGTTCCGTGATACGATTGTCATCTCAATCCCTTTATAAATAATTAAAATTTAATGTACACCAATTAGTAGTCGTATACTGAGTAATCGTATTCATAAAATACGTTTCGTATTTATTGATCGTATTATATTTGACATTATTCGCGATAAGATTTCAAAAAGTAATGCGAAGAAGAACGGCACGCGACACGACTACCTGCCTGTACAAGCTTTGTTAAGGGAATGAGTGATAAACTACGTACAAATGTGACGCGCCGCCCGACTTTCATCCCCCCTTCCACATCAAAGCAAACCAAGGTCGCGCGCCGATCATTTAACTGTCGAAACATTAACGTCGAAATATTACAAAATGAATAAAATAATCTATTTGTTACATTTTTAATATTCTTTGATGTAGACTTTATTGCACACGATTTTTGCTTTATTTCTTAGATTCATTATGCATATATACAGTTTATGAGTATCTTAGTTTAATTTTGTTATAATAAGTGATTATTAGTTTGTAATAATCCAGGAAAAAATATTATATGTATATATATACAAAAATTATTTTATATTTTTTTATTTTTACAATTAAATAAAGATTAATATTATGCCATACATCCTTTAAATGAAGAAACGCAAAAATTTTAAATTATGAAACAATTTCGACTAAATAGAGTATGTATAAATAGCATGCACATACATTAAGAGATATATAATTTAAATATAATTTACCTGTTACTTTTCCTGCATAAAAAATGCGAAGTAAGACGAACATGACAAAATTATACAATTCAAAGTAACAAAAAGCCACAATTTACAATATAATTACAAATATTTAACAATAAGAATTTCATTTTTGTATAGAATGTGAGAACACATGAAATGTCTAAGATATTCATGAATTGTGTAATGAAGAAATATATGTGCATATCTAAGAAATAAAGCAAAAATCATATAATATAACTTAAATATTTATCGAAGAATATTAAATCGATATAAGAAATTGTTTCATTCCGCGATGAAAAATACTAATTTATAAATTATTCTTTTTTTCTTAATATAAAGACAAATTTTCTATATACTAATATACAGGGCTTAGTCGCATTTAAAATAAAATTATTTAAAATATATACTTTTGATAAAACAAATAAAAGGATTATTTAGTATTTATTATTTTAAGTAACTTCTATGATCTACTTCTTAAGTAACATTTTAAATAAGTTTCCGGAACTTATTTTATATTTTTTATGTTGTATCAGTCAGGGGATCGGTCGTATTTAAAACAATTTTATTTAAAATATGTATTTTATAAATAAAGATAATAAAGCAGTTATTTAATGTATTTATTATTTAAAAAACTTTTTCTGACTTATTCCTTATTTAATACTTCAAATAAGTTTTTGGAATCTAAAATACAACATACGTAGTTTCGTATTATCTGATATAGTATTTGTCACAAATATGTTTCAAAGAGTCGTATTCATAATCGTGATTCAATTTGAGATTCGATTTGAGCTAGGTTTGAATCAATCTTTCATTTGAAAAACGCTTTTCAAACCACGATTTAATAAATCTGATTGGTTCAATCTTTAGTTCAAACCTAGCTCGCTTGATGAGAATCAATCGTGGATCGATCTACGACTATGAATACGGATCAAAAAGAATTATGTGAAAAAGAGCGGCACAATTACCTGCTTACACGAACGTCAATAAATGAATGACTAAGCAGTGAGTGATAACTGTGCGTGAACTACAAAAACATGACGTGTTCGGTGCCGCTCGCCCGACCTACCACATCAAAACAATCCCAAGGCCATAGGCTGTGCTTTAATCGTCTAATCATCGAAATATTAACGCATATTACGAAAAAATAATCTATTCGCTATACCATATTCTTTATATTTTCCGAGAGATGAATAGACTTTATTTCTTCGTTACGCATTCACACAACTCATTTATATCTTAGATATTTTAAATAGTGTTACAATGTATGCAATATTTTTAACAAAAGATAGACGTATTGTGGCCTTTTGTTACTTTTGAATCGTTTAATTCTGCAGTCATTTACGACATTTATCTTATTTCGCTTTCTTAATCCGCACTATTCCTTCACAGAAAAAAATTTTTATTTCAATTAGTTTATTTCAATTAGTATGATATTTTAAGTTATGCTATTAGTAGTTAATATTCAACAAATTTCGTATATTGCATTGTGAATTAAACTCTCACTGAATTTAACTCTCACCGTGTATACGTTTTTTTAGTATCCGTTAAGTGTATACGAGGGTCATTCATATCCGCCGTACTGTTTTTAATAGATTGAGTGGTTAAAAAAATATTAAAAAATTCATGTAGATTCCTTAACTGTTTTAGATAAAAGATTTGTACATAATTTAATAAATCTATTTGTTTAAATATTTTATTTTTAAAATGTAAATACAAATGTATGGTAGTGATCGATTCAAAAATGTATAACTTTTAATCAAATCAATGAAATCTAATTATTAAAAAAGGAAAGTAAAGTTTAAAGTTCATATTTTAATAAAAAAAAATACATGCTAACAAATCTTTTAAATTTAAATGCTTAAGTTTGGGATATAAAACTTACAATTTTGAAACTTATAAAAATAGTCAAAAAAATACAAAAAAATTATTTCTTATTTATACGATAAATAAATTTATTTATACGATAAAAAAACAAATGAATATTGACCAGTATTCATAGTCAGATATTATATTCATTAAGAAGTTACGAAACCAATCAGAGGGCTGTATTAGTGTCTTAAGACATTACTTAGGGCTACCGCACTTTCCGCATACCTTCCATAACAGTAACCATGAGACGTACCGTAAGAATTAGCCAATCACAGTCGAGTATTCTTTTGAACTCTTAATTCTGATTGACCTTAAGACGGACTTGAAATAAGAACGGACTACGAATACTAGAGTCTCACAGGAAGAGAATGGCAAATTGCATCACATAACCCGTCTCCTCTGATTGGACATGGACATTCACGTGATGCAATTTATCACTCTCCCCTTATGAGGCTCTAATGAATATTTTCTAATACCATTATTGTGTAGTTGCGGATCATCCACTTCTTCAGAGGACAGTATGCAGGGGCATTTTGTGATTACAGAAAAAAGGTCTTCATGTCCTCTCTCAGATTTCTCTCTAGTTGCCGCTTCCACTGCTTGACGCTTGCATGTGAATGCACCTTAAAGGTTGCAGAATGAAATGAGGTCTATTAGCGTTGCATACACTTTTTGTATTCAGCATCTTTGCTTTCTCTCTTTTCAACGTTCAAATATTTATCTTATTTTAAACGCAAAAATATTTGAGGATTTCAAGCAACGCGAACAGACCAATAGATCGCACCTCGCATATATCGAGAAGTATCGATAGAAATCGATATCCAGGTATCGATAGGTTCTTAGCTGATCCGGGGGCAAAGATGTCTGTTAGTGCGGCGGAGTGGAATATCATCATTTGCTTTGCCGGACGTTTGTGAGTAAATATCAGCTGGATGCGTAGCGCTATTCCGCGACAGCGTGCCAACGTGCGAGCGCGACGACATTAGGGACAATCTTCACGGCTGTTCCACGAGAGAGCGACGATGGGCCTCTTTCAGACCTCCTCGCCCTTCGACGCTGACGTCGGTGAGTAATATCCTCGTTTCCTTACGGCCCCGTTATCTGATACGCGCATCAGTACATATCATGGTCGAGTACATCGTCTCTCGTTGTATATGTTATCGCGAGAGCCTGCGATTATTCTTTGTGGGTTTATGCGAAGAACAATTCATTTTCTGCATTGGGCGTATTAAACGGTTGTTGACATTTGACCTCCTCCGACCACATCGTCAGATCTTTCATGCTATTTCTCCGCTCACTAAATTCGACTTTCGCGTTTTTCGACGCATTGATTTTTGCACGCGAGACAATAGCGATTTCACGCCCGATGACAGTTTGCCGCATGTCTCACCTGGATATTGTAACACGATCTCAGAAAACGTCAATCCCTTTGTTACATTTTTATCTCTGACGTCTGCGAGTTGATCCATTGTTATCTCCTTAACTATCTTTTAATCTTTTAATCTTTTTATTAAAAAGAAACTATTACTTTCTCGATTATGCATGCCATCGAATACTTATTTAAATCATGATTTGTGATTATATTGGATCAGAAAAGGCAACTAATGAGAACAATGTAACGGAAGAATGGGGAAAGATAATGGATATCTGCGACAAAGTCGGCACCTCCAGTCAAAATGCTAAGGACTGTTTACGTTCTATTGTGAAAAGATTATACTGTCAGGACCCTCATGTGGTCATGCAAGCTATCACAGTTAGTACATTCTTTAACAATAAGACATGATTCTATTAAGATTAACTTTATTTTCGATTAACTTTATCAAATTTATTCTTTATTTTTTTCTAATTCTTAGAATCAGAAAAAAATTAATAGTGAGTTAAACTGAAATTACAGTTAATCTTACTTTAATGGAATATCTCAACGTATTTCAAATTTTTAATTTTCCATTGTTTATTTAGTTGTTAGATGCTTGCACCAGTAATTGTGGAAAAGTTTTCCACTTGGAAATTGCGTCCAGAGATTTTGAAAATGATTTAAGAAAGCTTATTAACCATCCACAACCGAAAATAGTAGATAAAATTAAAGCACTTTTGAAAAAATGGGTAGAAGGTGATTTTAAGACAGATCCGCAATTGAATCTAATTCCAAGTTTATATAATAAACTGAGAAGCGAAGGCCATGATTTTTCTTCTGTCTCAGATACAGTGAGTTTCTAGTCTGTTGTATTATTACTGTATCTTTATTCTATATTTATGCAAAAATTGAATAATAAGTTACAAATCCAAACTAAGTTGTATTTAAATTAGTCAGATAGTTAACACTTATTGATAACATGTGTTCCTTTTATGTTGCATCACATAAGTAGTTACTTTATATAATATAAGTCATTGCATGCACTTTAACATATAGACATATAGATCAACTATATAATACTATTAATTCAATATTTTTAAAACTTTTTTTACATATTTAAAATGCAATGTCTTTTAGCCAAAACGTTCTAGCACTCTAAGCAGAGATCCTAATGTAGTAACAAATTCGCAAGAAGAATCAGATATCGCAAGAGGTAAGCTTAATATTGTTTCCATTATATATTAATAATGTATTTTAAGTTTATTTTTATTATATATATTTTTACATTTAATTATTATTATTAAACGATATTTTATAGCCATACAACTTTCATTACAAGAAAGTAAAGCTCATACTCAAAGCACTTCATCGCATAGCTCGCCAGCCTCTAAAAGAAGCACTAGTTTATATCCTAGTATGAATTCTGTGGTTGGAGCATCAAACACCTCCCAAGAAGGCAGGAAAGTACGTGCTCTGTATGATTTTGAAGCTGCAGAGGATAATGAACTGACATTCTTAGCAGGAGAAATAAGTATGTATATGAAGATTATAATATGAAAGCATAAACGACATACATGATGATATTAGAAATTAATTTCTAATTTTGGATTTGGTTTTTTAGTTAACATTTTGGACGATTCTCATCCAAATTGGTGGAAAGGTAGCAATCAAAGAGGCGAAGGGCTTTTTCCTTCCAATTTTGTTACTGCTGATTTGTCTGTTGAACCAGAAGAATTTACAAGTGAGATATATATGATTTAATAAATTTTTTTATGCACTCTAAAGTTTGAATGTCTTCAAATTTTTATTATATTTTTGTGATTGAATTAATGTAAGATATATTTATGTGTAGAATTGGAACATAGTAACAAAAAATTAGTGCAATTCGCAGAAGAAGTAGAAGTAAAAATGGTAAAACGTGAACCTGAAGTGGTGGAAGTTGAAATAGATGAAAAGAAAATGGATAGATTATTACATCTGCTTCACGAAGCTGATCCACAATGTGATACCTCCGATCCTCAGGAAATGCTCGATTTAGAAGGTAACTATGAATTTTGATGAAAACTTTAAGTTAGATTAATATTACAGATATATTCACTATTTCCATCTATTATATTTTGCAGAACAAGTCACGGCAATGGGACCTTTGATCGACGCGGCTTTGGAAAAAGTAGACAGGCGGCATGCGCAGCTTACTCAATTAAGTTCTGATTTGGTCCCGTCTGGTTACACTTTGCCTAAAATGCAGCCACATATAAGTCCTTATCCATTCCACAATCCGGGACCACCACCAGCGCACGTAAGTACATCTTGACATACTATATTCTTCAATAGAAGAATGACATTGCTATATTCTTCAATAGATGTTTAATGGTATGCCGCCTTCTCCGTTCCCCACTGGAGCTGCCTCAGGCCCGGTAGGACCATATAACGCGAGTTTGCCAAGCACCGAGTACATGGGTCCTACCAGTATGCCAAACATGACTTTACCTCAACATTTTCATGTTCAATCAGGATCCCACCAACATCCACCTGGACACCCACAAGGGTCATCTTTGCCGCCGCCCGATCAAACTAATCTACCTTATCAACCACAAGGGTATGTTTAATATACTTGATTTTTTTCCCTTTTATCGTTGATCCTAAAGCTCGCTATGATCAAAATTATTATAAAAATATTTTCAAGTTTTATGATATTTCTTACATTTAAATTACAATACATTGTCACACAAGCGTATGTGCAAATACATCTTTTTATGTTATTATATGGCAATATTCTTTAATTGCATGTTTTATCGATTGAACGTTATGTTTTGCTTTTCTTATTTTTAACATAAGAAATGATAATTTAATATATTACGTAGCAGATATCCACCTCAAAGCGGCCCAGCACCCGGGCCATATGGCCCGCCTGGACCTACAGGACCTATAAATCAGCAATCACAATATGCTCCACCAAATGGGCAACACATGATGTAAAGCAAAGCTATGCGTTACAAACTCATCTTGTACTCTAATTCAAGCTGTACAATATTACTATATTATAATTATTTAAATAAACATACCCAAAGTAGCCAAAGATAATGGGTTTTTAATAAAAATTTTATGTTCTAGGATGTACTATTTCATAAGTATGTCCATGTAATTAGGAAAAGCAAAGCAGAAAGTGACTTATGTTGCCTACATCACGCTCATATTAGTGTAACTGTTAAATATTTATTGATTCAAACTGTTCAATTTTTATTTATACATTCCTTCAATCAATTTGATTTCTGTTATTTAATTATTGGTTGATTCACATGATCAAAAAAAAAAATATTATATATCAATTTGTCTACAGAAATATGTTAAATCCCATATTTCTACACATTATTTAAAAAAATATTTTTCTTACAATTTTATAAATATAAAAAAAAGATTAATTATTCGTGCTTTGTTTTATATTTAAGTTAGAAACTTTGTCACATATATATTTCTCATAAAAGTTGTAATTTCTCATTTTTTAAATATTACATATATTTTTAAATAATATGCAATATGTCGTAAAAATACACGAAATATGAAATTTGGAATTTATGTACGAAAAAAAAGCTCAAGGAGTGTTTTATAGTTTTCTACTCTGCCATCGATCAAGTAGATACAAAACGGAGATTGCAATGTGATTATTAGGAAACGAAGTGATATTATTGTTAAAAGAATGTTGCAATCAGTGTTGTTAAGATTCTTTTAATTATCGAACAATGGTTGAAACATCTTTTGCAAGAAAAATGTCTCAATATGTCTAGTCTCCCCATTGTGTACAATAAGACTAATTCCTATTGACAGCTTAAAAAAATAGCGAGACTGCGAGAAATTTTTTATCGATTGTTAAATAATAAGTGATATTGTACATATATAACGAAACGTTCTATCTTGAATATTAATGGAAATGGTCAACGCTGTTTGACTATTGACGATATATGAAAATTATACGTTATATGTTAACGTGTTTCATTCTCCACAGTGCATAATCATTTAAAGCGTTCAACTTCTAATGTAAAAGATAAAAAAGAAGAAAAAAATACACAATGATAGTGCGGGCAAAGCTTACGCCTCAAAATCTATGTGAAAACATAATTTAAGATTTAAGGCATAATTTATAGGGACAAAACGATAATGTTTTTATAGCAGCGAATTCTGTATACTGTGTAAGCGAATGAAGATGGAAACGAGATAGAAATTAAAAGCGAGATAAATAACACGTCTTATGGAGAGTAGGCGCTATTTATGCTGTGTATGTTACGTTACCATTAAAGTGGCTTTATTTATATAATCAACTATCGCTTCTATTTCTTCTTTTTTTTTTATTCATAAAACGGCGATTCTGACAGACGAAAATCTCGCTACCAAAAGCAACTGTATATTATGTAAATACTGCAAGAAAAAAATACATTTTTCGAAATGTTCACTTACATTCCTTATCCACTTAATATAATACTTTTCCTCACATTGTTGCCAAAACCTTGATGAAACATTAAAGAGAAACTAATAAGAAAATATTCATTATCGTAACGATTTAACAGATAAATATCAATTATCATCCCTTAAAGTGCAAAAATCATGCGCAATTTCGGCATCCAGTATTTTTCAGTGCTCAAAATATTGTATAATATTGTATAATAATTGTTATACTGCACATTTATATGTAATACGTTACGTTTATGAGTCATGCATTTTTCGCAATATGTCATTCTTAACTAAACAACTTAATAATGTATATTTACCATTATCGCTGATTGCAGACTGTAGTCAATGAAGAATGAATTTTTTTTTTCATATTTACTTCTAAATCGTACCTACATTGTATTTACGTGAAAAGGTGCTTATTAATTTTTCGCTTTTTTTCTCGCCACATTTTTTGCTATATTGACCTTCTGATATTTTACAGTAACAATTGCTTCTTAACAGTCGTTAATGATACTCGAGAATTATTTAAAATTTTATAATGAATTGCACACCGCACAACGCCTGAAGATATACATGTAGATATACAGGGAATATAATTCTCCGTAACGGAAGATATACGATTGATAGAACAATGATGGAATTAATGATTGAAAAATCCCGCAAACAAGTCCCGTTATTAATCGTTTGTTGTTCTTATATAACATGCATCCGCGTGCATAAATTTCAATTAATTTTTGTTCTCGAACGTAAATTTTATTCTCATACAATTCTTCTTTAATTTATATATGAAGTGAGATTTATAAACTATTTGTAAAAATCAAATTGCACTTTGTTATAATATATAATTATTTTATTTTATATTTTATTTTGCATTATACTAATGTTATATTGCTCATATATATTTTATATTGCACAATTATATTATCAAAAGTTTTTGATACTATATTATATGTACATATATATTAGGTGTTGGAATTAATTCGTAGCGTTTTTTAATGAAAGAATGTTATTTATTTCACATGAGCATTAAAAAATACATTAATGAAAGTACTTCCCATCACTTGTAAAACGCTACGAATTAATTCCAACACATATATATATATATTACATAAATTTAAATAGATAAATAGATAATACAATATATTTATGAACAATTACGTGTAAGAATTTCCTAAGCAATTTTGCAAATATTCATGCATGAATAACATAAGCATTACTTAACGCCTGATGAACGAATAATAGTGAGCGTATTTAACATCTAATGAATTATTCCAAAACGTGAGAAAATTTATATGCAACCGTCTATAGCGGTATATACAAGTATGTGCGTGCAAATGCTTAATTATTCTAGTATTAATACTATTAATTATTCGCCCTTTCAATGCATTGCGTTGAAAAATAAATTCTTTTAACTAATACACTTTTGTTTATTTTGACATTATTTTTTTAAATTAATATATTAGGTGTTGGAATTAATTCGTAGCGTTTTTAATGAAAGAATGTTATTTATTTCACATGAGCATTAAAAAATACATTAATGAAAGTACTTCCCATCACTTGTAAAACGCTACGAATTAATTCCAACACCTAATATATAGATTTTTTTCTATACAAATTTTTCTATACAAGTGTTCAGACAATTGCATTCGTTTATATTACATAATATATTTTTTATGTGATGTATTAAAAAATATTATAATCGATATTATTTGTATGCAGTTTTTTCATTTTTGTGTATTTTCACTGAACATGTCATTTCTTTTATAGGCTATTTGTGACTCATATCATTTCACACATCGGATGATGTATCGATAACGGATCGACGTAACTTCCTCATATAACTATTCTGTTGATAAGATCATTAGAATAATGAGTAGCTTTCCTTGACAATGGCATTTCTTAGATCGACAATGGACCGAGCAACCTTGGCATTAACATTCTAGATCTCTCGGTTTCGTTTCCAAGCCGCAGACAAGACTTCGTGACTATCAATCATGATAGTCGAGCCGCCGTAAAATATCTAGTCATGTAATAAAACAAAAAAATTCTAATTTACTCTTCTCTCTATTCTTTATCAATGTTAGCAATCATTCATTATTAACATTTATCAGTAATCACTATATATATAATGATTAATATCTTTACATAGTATTTATTTATATAAATCTATTAATCATTATTGATTAAACTCACAGAAGAAGTAAAATCTAATTTCTCACATCATAATATAAAAATATAAAAATTATGTAATAAACTTTTATAGAATTTTAATTTAAAACTTGATTTTGAATTAAAAAATATATAGATACGATAAAAGTTGTGATAAATGATTATTTTATTATTTTTTCTTCTCTCAATGTTTTCATTAAGAAGGAATAAATTTTAAATTTTCTAATCTATATACTATAAATAATGGAAAATTGTAAATCTTTTATGATAGAAGACTGCAATCCTACTCTCTTCGCTGTGTTTAATGTTCTAAATACCATCAACCTCGAATTATAATTTTTTTATTAACGTGATGTTTTGTTCTATCACTTTTACTGCTCTCGTATGTAGCTCAAGGCCAGTGCAATTGTTTTTCTAGATCTAGGATCGGATCATCCCAAGTCAGATATTCGCGCGAATATATCTCAATAATCAAAATGGTAAATAGATTTATATTTTTTATTTAAACATCTAAACCGCTTTGCTAGAGTATTTTTAATAAGAAATTGACGTTTGATTATATCAGTGAATTACGAAATTACACTGATTTTTTTGAACAAGTATTTAAAGCCATTCCTAGAAAATTCACAGAAATATTGCAATCGGTTTAAATGATAACGAAATTTATTTTCTCAATTAAAAGATATCATGTCATATTTTAAACACAAACAATTTATAGAACATAAAGAAAGAGATCTCGCAATGACTGTCGTACAATTAAAATACAAAATACTACAGTCTGGTTACTTGAATGCACTCGAATTTTAAAATTAATAAATCTGAAAACTGATATAATGTTGTGTGACGTTCATTATTGTTACTGCATTTCTTTTGTAATTCCGTCATTGATAAGAAGTCGCGTTAGCATAATTGTTATTATTTTGATTCTAATATTAGGAATAAAGTATATAAATTAATCTGTTGGTTCTTTGTACACACTAATAAAATCTGATGTTATTTACTTTATAAATAACTTCATAGAATTTATATTATAAATAATTCCATGATATCTTCTCTAATCTTTACTAAATGATTCATTAAAGGACACACACACACACACATACACAAACGGCTCAGTTACACTTTAAGATGGTACTATATGGTAATAGCAGATGGTACTATCTGTACGAGAAGAACTTTAATTTATTTCTAGTGTCACCTTGTTAAGCAATATATTCCGCATTATGCAACAGTCTTCCTTCCACCTTAATAAAGCAATTGCGTACAAACTTTAGTGTTATTAACTAATAATTATTGCGAGTATGTATGCGTTAGTTCTCAAATTTCGTGATCATAGATAAATGTCCATTTCAAAAGGTCAGGCTTCTATCGATCATCAGATTGGCTGTAGATTAAACAGTAAAACGTCTCATGGAAAAGGTTGTGCATTTCATTAGAGGTATATTTGATATTTAACAACGATTG